ACACACATCCACACTTAAAATACAGACAAAAATGATGAATCCAAGGATCACAAGAGATGGGTAGGTTTTAAATCTGCATTGGTAATAGTTCATGTTCAGTTATCTTCATTGTCATGTCACCTTTATGAGACTCACCCCACAATTTGTCCATCCCTTTTAGATTGACTTCTTGAATCAGAACCCTATTTAAAAACACCTTTCATATGCCTAAAGACCATTTCCAGGAATAGGTCTGTATTAACTCAGTCGAACCTGGCTCGATTGAAGAAAGGTTCACTCCATGGGGATTTTAAGTATGATACTTCTTTGAGATGTGACTGTCATCACTCCACCATATTGTGCTGTGCAGGTGTGTGTCCTGCTGAGTTTATTTTGCACATGATCATGTGCATGCAGCAGAAGGAGGGGCTGGGGTTGGAGTGTGGGCAGAGCACATTTCATACAGGGGCTATCAATGTAGTTACCTCTTGCTTCCTAAAGTAAGCGATGAGTCCTTAAAGGCAGAAGCACCGTCTTTCGTTACCTTTTGTTTTTCCTTAACACTTAGTAGGTTTAGCGTAAACAGGAGATGTTTAATAAAACCAGCATTGGACCTTAAACATGAGTTTTAGTTTGATTTCCTATGGCTGGTGGAGAACATCAGAGGTAAGTACTTTTATTATTAAGTTTTTATTTAAATTCCAGTTAACACAGTGTAATATTCGTTTCAGGTGCACAGTATAGCGATTCAACACTTCCATACATCATCCAGTGCTCATCACAATGCAAGTGTACTCCTTAATCAAGTCCAGTGCTTTTAGATGGCTCACGTTGTCCAGGTGTCCTTGTTGTGGTTAAAGTGGATCCAGGAAATTGTTAGTCTTAACTCTGTTGGTATTTTAGGGTCAATTCAAAGGGATCTATTCAAACCAGCTACATAGGGACATGTTTTTTGGGTACTCCAATACATTAGAGCTGAATTTAAAACTATGCAAACAGAAAAAAAAGGTGGTAAGTTAATCAGGTGATAATTAAAGCAAATAAACCAAACATCTAATTAAATAGATTGTCAAATTCCACAATATGTGCTTGTTGAAGAGTAGATGAATGTACCTGCTAACTCATGGCACAGTCCCTAAAATCAAGCCAAAGAGATTTAATGTGATCCTAAATTAGGTCATCTGCAAATATTTGTATTTGCAGAGGTAAAGAGTTGTGACCTCTATCGGCTTGTATTTACTTAATGAGAGAAAATTCTCTTAGAATAAGAGTTCCAAAGTATGGAGCAAAATTTCCCATTAAATTTAAAAAAAACTTCACTTTTCTGATAAGTGATACAGGATAAATTAAAATTAAATTAATTAGATTAAAAATTAAATTATATTAAATTATTTAAATTACATTAAATTAAAAAAAACTTCACTTTTCTGATAAGTGATACAGGATAAAGATTTAAAAAGAAAACTGCTTACCTGGGTGGCTCAGTCGGTTAGGCTTTTAAGCATCTGACTCTTGCTTTCAGATCAGGTCATGATCTCAGGGTCATGGGATCGAGCCCGGCGTCGGGTTCTGTGCTCAGCGCAGAGTCTGCTTGTCCCTCTCCCCACCTCCCCCACCCTGTCTCTGTCACTCACCCAAAATGAATAAACAAAATATTAAAAAAAAAAAAAAACTGCTTACCGAGTGCATTGACCACGAAGTTCTGAAAAAATGCCTTAACCCCGCTTGGTGAAATAATTGGTGGGAGTGGGGGAATGGCACCTATCTAGACCCAGTGCTGTCAGGATGACGGAAATGAGCATTCGACAAAGAACTTGCCGGCGCAGATGGCTGTAGGCAGTAGCTTTTTCACATGATCACCTGACATATTGTCTGTGAGTTGCAACTTGTAAGAAGAAACTGCCCTGAATTCCAGTGAGGACACTTGTCTTTTACTTTTTACCTGCTGTGTGGCTGCAGTTTCTTTGGGCTTCCGTTTGCTGATCCATGGCAGGAAAGATTGGTAAAAATGATACCACGCGTCTCCTTTGGCTTTCGATGCTGACTTTTTGTTATTGGTTGTAGTGGTGTTTTTTAAAAGACATACTGTGATGCTATGATTTTCAATACAAGTTCAAATGCTGCCTTTAATTCTCCATTTTTGTATAAACCAAAAATGGGAGGAAAAACAAAATTTAGATTAAATGCTGTACACTTAGAGAAAAAGCTTATCTCTATTTTTTAAGCATAGAATATCAATAAAATATACTTTGTTTTTATTTGACATAAGTTTTAAGCTCCTTAAATACTGATAAGTGTTCATGTGCTGTTTTATATTAAATACATTTTAAATGTTGATCCAAAATGTATATTTGAGATCACCCACCTGCTACAGTAAGTAGAAACCTTTTGTGTTACTAATTAGAATGTCATAATTAATCCATTTTTGCTAGTTTCTACAAATAACGCAAGTAATGACCAAGACATTTTTGCTTTTCAGAGTCTTATTACAATCCTGAAGCTTAAGAACTGGATTATTAAGTGCAAGGAAGGAACCTGCTTATGTAACTTTACATCTCTTAGAAAACACCATTAATGTGTATGTTTGGTCTGTTTGGCAGAATCATTAAAATGTATATGGAAGGGATGCAGAAACGTGCAACTCTGTAGAACTGACCGATCCCTCTGCCGTCCAGAGTCACTTGCTTTGTTCAGTAGATCTGCAGTCATTGCTGCATGTAAATATAATTTAGCAATAAGGACAGTTGATTCCCTTGAAAATCACTTTTTTTCTTTTTTGAACTTAATCATAGATAACTTTGTTTTGCTCTGGTTAGCCACTGCTTTCGATTAAAAATGCCCTCTCTGTATCATCCGCTATAATATACTTAACAAGTGATGACGTTAAAGAAATGCAAAACAGGTTAGACTAAAGAAAGAGGTGGGGAAAGAATTTCTGATACAGACGAAGCAGCCCACAGACATTGGGGTCAGGCTGGCTGTGTGGTTATTGTTTGAAGAGGTACCAATCTCTGTGAGACCTCCATGTGGTGTGTTAGCAGACATGCTCAGGCTGGGGCTGTGGTGAAGCGACATGTTTTAGAGTTGTTCTAGATGTTGAAATTGTGCTTACTACCACCGAAATCGGAATTCATTTCCATAACTTTGTTTTTGCATTCAGAGCTGAATTAGGCCAACTTCCATTGCTGCAGTTTTATTTCCAAGTGTGAATAAGGCAGGAAGTCCTTGAATAATAATCCTCCTCCTCCTCCTCCTCCTTCTTTCTTCTTCTTCTTCTTGTTCTTCTTCTTCCTCTTCCTCTTCCTTTTCCTCTTCCTACTCCTCCTTTTCCTCTTCCCCCTCCTCCTCTTCCTCCTCCCCCTCCTCCTCTTCCTCCTCCTCCTCTTCCTCCTCCTCCTCCTCCTCCGTTATACTAAACTATTATTATAGAAGTAAGTTTTTCTAATTATAGGAAAATTAGAGATTACATGTGAGCAAAAAAGAAAAATCTACAACCACATCACCTGAGATTACTGTATAATTTATTGAATTTCTATCATGTTTTCTTGTAGCTATTTTTCCTTAATACGTGTGTCTGTGCATATTCATGTAAAACAGACATGGCATAAAGCAAAAAAATCGAGCATTCTCCTTGAGGCTAGCATAAGCAAATTTTATACATTCAGGTGTATGGAGGCAAGTGACATATTGAAGGGCTTTTCTCAAATCTATTTGGCTCATTCGTAGGCTTATGTGAAAAAATCATCTGTTTGATAGTTTTTGAATAGAAAATGAATTAAAAGGGCTGCTCAGCGGAACAGTTTCAGACAAACCTGTCAATTCAGTTTTCAACTCTTTGCACCTGTGGGGGCTTTTGAATGTGGTTAATATTAATCAGAACTTCCTTTAAATTCTTGAATTAGTTCAGGAAGAAGGAAGGCCTGTGGCTTATTTTGTGGATCATCTCTGATGCTATCAGAGAGTAGTTGACAATTTTTCAAATTGGCTTTTACTTCAGGCTTGGAGTTGCAGAGAGAACTGCCCTTGGAGGCACTCACTCACAGCTCACTTGGAAGCTCTTGGTGGTGGTGGTAGCTTGTCTCCTAGCACCATGTTGACCTTGCCACTTCCTTACTCTGAGAAATCTCCAGACGGGAGAACTAAGGCTTAGCAATGTGGGATCTCCGAATGAGTCTTAACATGGAAACCTCCTTACCCTGTGAAATACCAGCACATTTCCACCTCAGCTTCAGCTTTCACACCAGGCTTTACTTGAGGGATCAGGCTGAGGAGGCATTTGCATACTGTTAAGGTCTAATATCACAGGCTGATATCGAAGTTGCTAATGTATGGCCTTGCCTAGCCTTAAACTCCTAACAGGGACTCCTGAGAGCAGTAATGGGAAGGTGCAGTTAAACTGGGGTCAGATGATTCAAGGTCTACGTATAAATGAAGCTTCACCCTTTCTCGTTTGCAAATTCATTCTGCAAGCATGTTGTTTGCAGTCACCTCTGCAGATCTCCTGATTAGGAACCTTGGGGGTGTTGATGAATCTCACGTATAATCTGATGTGTTATGTGCTGTGAATGAACCTAAGTGCCATTGTCCGTAGTATCTGGTTTGACAAGATGATGACCAATACATAGAATCGTGTAGCCTTGACGTCTACGGAAATAGCTTCATGGTGATGGGTTTGATGGTGGTGGTTTCAAACTACAATCCTCATTAGGGGGCGCCTGGGTGGCTCAGTCGGTTAAGCGACTGCCTTCGGCTCAGGTCATGATCCCGGAGTCCCGGGATCGAGTCCCGCATCGGGCTCCCTGCTCGGCGGGGAGTCTGCTTCTCCCTCTGACCCTATCCCCTCTCATGCTGTTTCTCTCTCTCTGTCAAATAAATAAAAATAAACAAAATCTTTAAAAAAAAAAAAGAATCCTCATTAGGGGCAGGTAAAGATAGAGAACAGTTTCCATTTTTTTAAGTGCATGTGCCTGTGCTGAGAAGGTGATCTATAGTTTTATAGAAGTTTCCCTTTTTATTTGTAGATATAATACTTTGCCAAGCAGAAGAACCCTGAAAAATTCAAGATTAGTGAGTAAGAAAGATGACGTACATGTCTGTATCATGTGTTTACGTGCCATCATGAATTACCAGGTAGGTTTGTGTTCTGATTCTTTAAAAAAAAAAATTGTCAGATTCAGATCTTGTCCTCTTTGGTTTTGTTGTATTATTTCTATTTGAAGTAATACCAGGATTTAATGTGATTCTACTAAAAAAGAAAGGGTGTGGTTCATTTTAATGTTCAAGATTTAACTCAGTGCCTGTGTATTTTAATTAGCATTTATACTTCGTGATGTATTTAGAGGGAAGATGTTTTCCTCCTACAGGCATAAACTTGTTTAGGTTATTATTGGGTAAATGTGACCATTAAAGACAGAGTAAGCCATTGGTTGTGGGCGATAATGGAACGTTAGGAGTGAATAGACTCTCATATGGGTCAGTGGTTCTCAAAGGGTTATATGGTAAAAAGGTGGGAAGTTAGAATTACTGTCTGTTGGACTTAGTGGTTCTTTTTAAAAATTTTTAACAATTTTATTTCTTTATTTGAGAGAGAGAGTGCGTGCAGGAGCACAAACAGCGGGGGAGGGTCACAGGGAGAGGGAGAAGCAGACTCCCTGCTGTGGGCGGGGAGCTGGACTCAAGGCTCGATCCCAGGACCCCAAGATCATGACCTGAGCTGAAGGCAGACGCTTAACTGACTGAGCCACCCAGGCGCCCCTGGACTTAGTGGTTCTTAATCTTTATAAGAAGCACCTGGAGGATTCTTGTTCAAAGGGCAGATTCCTCCTCTAGGTGATTTTGATGCAGGTGATCCCCATCATAACAGGGAGCGAGCCAGCTTAATGGGTGGGTTGGATTAGCTCTAACAACAAAGTCGAAGTTGGAGCCTGGAGTATCTAGGGTGAACTGATAGGTTCCAAGTTAGATAAGTGGAACCAGGGTTTAAGAATCGGAAAAACCTAATTCAAATGAAAAATAGGGTTTGGTATCCATGGATAGGGATGCTGAAGGTGGGTCCAAGCAGAAGTGGAAAATAAATGCATAGGTAGAGAGGGTCAGTATTAGAATTCAAACTCAACAGAAGGGTGCTGAATTGAATTTGAGAAGGGGAATGTGCATTTTATGTCTTCTTTCGATCACTATTTTTTGAGCATTGCCAGACAGACCCTGTTCTAGGCAGAGGGAATACGGCATTAAATAAATAAATAAATGCCCCAGGGAACTTACTCTCTAATGAGGGGAAACAGATGATAAATAACTTGAGAAAACATACAGTGTTCCAGATGATAATGATGGGGAAATGAAACAAAAGCTAACACTTAGAAACAAAACAAAACAAAAACCAAAACCCAAAAAACAAAACTAGCACTTACAGAGTGCTTCCTAATAGGACCAACACTTTTAAGCCTATTCACTTAATTTAAAGCTCATAACAGTCCTGTGAGATTGGTAATTTACTCTCCCCATTTTTCTGATGAGGAAACTGAGACACAGAGAAGTTAAGTAATGTGCCCAGGAACATATATAGTCAGTAAGTGGTTTGAGTCAGACTTAAATCCAGGAAGACCAGCTCCAGAGAATTGTTACTAATACTGTAGAAAAACTACCCAAGAAATAGGTGTAGGAAGTGATGAAAATGTGTGTTCAGTTTTAAATAGGCCAGCCCCGGGAAGTGTTACGGAGAAGTAGCAATTTGTCATAGTAGCAATTTTAATGAGGGAACAAGGTAAGAGGTTCTAGGGAAAGAAGATTCTAGGTAGAAAAAGGGGCGAGTGCAAAGGCCCTGGGGCAGGAATAAGCCTGGTGTGCTTGAAGCACAGAAAGGAGGCCAGGTTGGCTGGATCGGAGTAAGTGAAAAGGGGAAGAGTAGGAGATGAAATCTGAAGTTCACACAGGGTCCTTACTGTGTAGGGCTTTCTAAGCCAGTGAAAGGAGTTTGGCTTTACTTGAGTGGAAAGCTATTGAACGGTTCAGAGGAGAAATGTGACATGATCTGACTCTTGATTTTAACATGACCATTCTAGCTTCTGTGTTTAGAATTGACCTTGAGGGGCAAAGGCAAAAGGAGGTAGACCACTTGGGAGGCTGCAGCATTGGTTTAGGTGAGTGTTGATGGTGGTATGGGGCCAGGAAAATAGGAGTAGAGATGATGAGAGGTGACCAGATTCTGGTTTACTTTGGACGGTAAAGGCAACGACACTGGGTATGTGGTTGAGGAGTGGAAGGTGGCCCTAAGGTGTTTGTCTTGGGCCCCCTTCAGATGGAGTTGCCATCTACTAAGATGGGAAAGGCTACATGATGAGCAGATTTGGGAGACAAGATTAGGAGCGAAGTTTTAGGGATGTTCCCTTTAAGATGTCTGTAGTCATCCAAATGGAGATCTTAAGTGAAGTGGTCGGATATGCCAATCTGGAATTCAGGGCAGAGGTCTAGGCTGGAGATGTAAATTTGGGAATTAAGAGATGGTGTAGAAAGCCAGGGGCATGCTCGAGAACAACAGGGGTAGATAGATAAGCAAAGAGGTCCAAAATAGGAACCTGGGTGCTCTGTTTAAATGTGGGAGCGCGGAGGAACAACTAGCTAGAAAGACTGAGAAGTAGCCAGGGAGGTAGGAGCCAAGTGCAGGCAGTGTTTCAAGGAGAACAGAGTGCTCAGCTGTGACTAGTGCTGCTGTTTAAGTCCTGTAAGACGACAAGTGAGAGTTGGCCATGGGCCTAGCAAAGTGTGGGTCATTGGCGATTTTGGCATGGACAGTTTCAGTGGAGAGGGTGGGGATGAAACGCCCCACTGAAGTGACTGCAAGAGACAGCAGGAGGAGGAGAGTCGGAGACCGGGAGTGCTTGGAGTTTTGCTGTAGAGGTTAGGGGAGGAGAAACAAGGTAGTAGCTGGACACGGGTTGAGGGTCAAGAGAGATTTTGCCGTTGTGGTTACTGTTTCAGTTGGGCACATTTGCATCGTGTTTTTATGCTAATAAATCAGAGAGGGAGAAATAATAATGAGGGATGGGAGAATTGCTGGAGCATAGGATATGTTCTTGGGCTGGTGAGGGGGAATGGGGTCAAAGACTCAAGTGGAGGGGTACCTGGGTGGCTCAGTCGTTAGGCGTATGCCTTCGGCTCGGGTCATGATCCCAGCGTCCTGGGATCAAGCCCCGTATCGGGCTCCCTGCTCCATGGGAAGCCTGCTTCTCCCTCTCCCACTCCCCCTGCTTGTGTTCCTTCTCTTGCTGTGTCTCTCTCTGTCAAATAAATAAATAAAATCTTAAAAAAAAAAAAAAAACCTCAAGTGGAGAGAATGGCCTTGGATTAGAACCCAGGAAAGTTCTTCAGGAAGAGGTGAGGACGAAAGCTGTGGATCTATGTGTGGATTGATGTGGGGGTGCGAGCTTTTAGAAGTTTTTTTTTTTTCTCCCTGTTTGCTTATATCTTCTCAAGGTAATTAGGAATAAGGTCATGAACTGAGAGTGAGCTTGGAGGAGAAGGAATAATTCCTCAAGTCAGCAGAATCAAGAGTGTTTCGGGAGCCTGTTGTTGAACTTGTTCTTCATTGAACTAACATGTCTCAGAGCAAGGCAGGTCTTCCTGGGCTTTGGTCCTGAGAGCCATTGCCCAGAGAGGGGACTAGAAGCAGTGGTTGTCAACCTGGGCTGCACAGTGAAGTCAGCTTAAACATTCAGATGCCAGGGTCCCATCCTTGAGATTTGAAGTAAATTGACCTGGGGTGTATCCCGGAAAATCAGTGTAGTGTTTTGTCTACTCTTCCACATGATTTTGATGAGCAGCCAGATTGAGAATCACTGGACTGGAGGCTTTTCACCATTTTAATGAAGAGAAACCCATAGTTCAGTCATCAAGAACGAGACTATGGTTCCTTGATGATAGCATGATTCCTAAAATTTTTCATAGAGAAATACGTTCAGGCACTAGAGACATAATGGCATTTATGATGGTATAAATTACACTAGGTAGAATCTTCGGGTTCTTTTTTTTCCCTTTAATCAGCATAGTCCCCTAAGTTGACTCCTAATGCTTTGTTTTTTTCTAGTATGGTTTCAACATGGTCATGTCTCATCCACATGCTGTCAATGAGATCGCACTGAGCTTGAACAACAAGAATCCAAGGTAAGCTTACCTTGTAATTTTTCAAGTGTAAATAAATCTAGGGAAATAAGAGAGCCAGTCAACACTTAGTCAAGTTAGAGTTCGGAAACTTGCAAGTGCACCTCTTTGAATTAAGGTTGCCAGTGGACTCCTTGGCTATGTAGAATTTTCTTCTCAGCTGAGTTACAGTTTTACATGTGGTGCAGTTGAGAGATTGGCGACAGCATTACCCCTTCACTGTTCTCTTCAAGCTTTCACTTCTTTTGAGGCCTGATTCTTGGCATCCTTGCAAATTTTACCAAATTGGGTAGAGAGCATGAGGTTGCCAGGTGGTTAGGACTGGGGCCAGGAGAGTCTTCATACAGACTTAGTGATACCACTTACCACTGAAAGCTAACTACAACTACTATCCTTTGTCCGCACTTCATTTGCAAACCTTTACATATGTCGTTGGTATGACCAAACAAAAAAAGAAAACAGAGAAAACTGTGCATGCCGATTGCTTCTTCTGTTCACTTGCCTGCAAAGGCCACTGCCATATTATTCACATCACAGATGATCTCTAGAAGCCGGTCTTCATCAGTTTGTTTTAGTTACTATAGTATGTTTTTCATTCTGGTGAGGGATTCTGCATTTCACACATCTTATTCCCTTTCACCGAATACCTCTGTAAACTGTGCATCTGAAAACTTGTTAATGCAACTAAAAAATCTGATCACAAATGAGATCCTTTCTGATACGGAATGAAATGAAAAATTTAAAGTCCTATTTAAATGTTGAATATTATTTCAAACTTCCTCTGATGATAGTTTTTGCAATTTTGCGATCACTTCCTTAGTTTACTAAAAAATCTGGTAGCCCTTCTTCGTCCCTGCCTTCCACTATAGGGAAGTTGTTACTCATTTTTCTTAAGATAATTGACATTGTGAATTATCAGGCCAGTCTTCGTGTAGAGGTTGGCAATAGCTTTTTTTCTAGGAAAAGAAAAGTACTGAAGTGATCTTATTATGAAAAAACAATGCTGTTCTTGATGTTGTATTTGAAAACTTAGACTGTATTGCTAAGGGTTTCCTTCTAAAAATATTTCAGATGGAGTTTTATTTTCTTTTCTCAAGTCAGAAAATATTCTTGTATTAGCACTGCTGTAATCCAGCCCCACTCAGATCTCCTGCATAGGAAGAAGTGGTGATGGAAACTTGCATTGTCATAGGGGATCTTTATGGCACCATGTGCAAATTGCAGAGTTGAATGTAGAGCATTAATTTCAGTAGATTTTGAACTTTTGGGGAAAATAATGAAACAGTGGGTTGTTTTCCTGAATATTCCCAAGTTCCCAGCTGTCCAGCTTATCAATAAAACTTTTTCAAACATATTGTACTGAATCACTCACTGGTAGAAATGAAAGACTAATCTTCCCAGAATTGATTTTCATTAGTGAGTAATTTATAATTTGGGGAGTGGGAAACTTGCCTTCCAAATTTGCTCCCTTGGATAAATTGCATACATAGATGTTAGTAAAGGTGTATTTATACTTTCATATAAATATACCTTAGTAAAAGTGTAAAAAACATACACGAGCAAATATTTTATTATCATAGCCATCTTGGAAGGAGGGAGCTGCTGACTCATCATGTTACTTTCACTGATTTTTTTTTTTTGCTTGTTTCTTCTTGTTTCGACAGGACAAAAGCCCTTGTCTTAGAACTGTTGGCAGCAGTTTGTCTTGTCAGAGGCGGGCATGAGATCATTTTATCAGCATTTGACAACTTTAAGGAGGTAGGATCCTTTCTAGATTGCTCACACAAACCTATTTGGAAGTCTTTGAACAAAATGATTTACCTCTTCTGTGTGCGTTTTATCATTGGGATATAATTGACATTAGTTTCAGGTGTACAACATAAGGACTCAGTATTTGTATGTCTTATGAAATGATCACCACAATAAGTTTAGTTGACACCTATGGTTTACCTTTTTATGTATTCTGGGGCCTCAGGGGTATAATATATAATTTTCTAAGACGTCACTGAGGGAGAAGTAATGAACTTAGTCTAAATATCTTAAATGGACACATTAAGCTTTCTTTGGTGTCTCATTTCCCAGAAAAGTTAACTATTTGCAGGATCCATTTTCCTTTGGAGACCAGGGAATTGCCAGTTTGAGAAAATGTTTTGTTAAATGTCTGAGGTTTTCATTATGGTTATACTTGAGCATCCTCCATGTACATTTTATGAACTCTTTGATCAGAGTTACTTCCCCCAAATCATATGTATTATCATTGCTGTGCTGGATGACACACACACACCCCCACACCTCCACACACACCCCCACCCCCCCAAATAAATAGAGACACTGATTTGAGCAGTTTGTAATCTTAACCAGGTGATCCTGTCCTAGACACACCATTAACCAGTGGACATGTGTGGTTGAAAATGAAAACTTAAATGACTGCGGAGGAAGAAAGAATTACACACAGATAATATGATACCAAGGATGGTGGCCCAAAGTATCAAGACATCACAATTGAAGTAATCACTCATTTCCCTTAGTGGTAGCGTGCGGGGTTACATGGCCATGAAGAGTGCCTGTGTACCTCCCGACTATGGGCCTAACAGCTGAGGCTACTTTGAGGTGGGATATCATAAAAGTAAGTAAAGGCACTTGGAGCTCAGGCTTCCGTAGGGCCTTCAGCCAGGTTGTGCCTTCTCCTGGTGATCCCATTTGATTTCACATGCTTCTGGATTCAAATCCAGATCTCAACGGGACTTCCAGACTCTCTCTCATCTTTCCTGGGAGCCTCTGGAGTAAGAACCCAGCTAGTATTTGTCGAAGACCTACTCTAGGGCAGGTGCTGTGCCAAGTACACCCATGAAATCGTGTGGTTCTGTGAGAATATGTGAGACAAGTATTAATGTCTACATGTTCTAGAAGAATAAACTGAAATTCCAAATACCTGGCTGGCCCATGGTCCCATAGCCAGGTAAGTGGCAGAGCGAGGACCCGGATTTGGTGCTCCTGATCCTGAACTCCTGTTTTAGGTGGCATTTGGGCCCAGCTGTGTGTGAAACTCTTGGGGAAATATTGAATTAGACAGGACCTCAGAGCCATTTCCCCCACCCTACCCACTTCATTGGACTTACTACCCCAGGCGCCAGAGGTACTAGTGAGAGACCCGTGATCGCATATGTGGGCTAGAAAGCTTCAAAGATGTCAACAGGGAAGACAGTCCTCCTGCCCTTTTATTTTATGGTTTCCCTCCCTTCAGTCACTGCTTTAAGATTTTGACATTATCCATTTTGTTAATGCTGACCATGGACAAAATCAAATATTGTCTTTTTACCTATTCAGCCTCAGTGATAGTGAAAAAATATCCAGGTTCCAAGAATATGAGGTATAATAGTGCATCTTTAAATCATACTTTGGCTTCAAAAAATAATAGAGGCTTTAGAGAAAAGAAATGTATGAATGCTTGTCTGTGAATGTTTTTATATGTCATATATTAGTACGTAAAATTTGTATTTACAAGTAAGGAGATCTATGGGTAGATGGGTCTAATAGGAAAATGAAACAGCATGCGAGGCTAATATAACTTCCCAGTCTTTATCATTTGATCACATTTGGACATATCCCACATCTAATACCTTCCACATTGGAAGCACTTACTATACAGCTATCAGTGACCCTTGTTATAACATAAGCAATATCACAACAAGCATCTGATTATATTGTGGGTCAAATTATGTCCTCATTATAATTGTGTACAATCAGTAATCATTAAAACCAGTCATTCATGAGATGGATGTTAATTTTGTTTCCTTTTAGGTAAAATAGAGTGCCTTTCTTATGCACGATAATACTTGCAGAATTGAGTTTCAGCGGCCTGGTATCAGAATTGTATACGGTTTAGCCATTTAGTTGAAAAAAAAAAAAAAAACTTACTAAATCTAATGGCTAAGTAGCAATGCAAACTAAATTAATTTTGACTTTGAATTTTAAAAGCTTTAACCAAAATCTGCCTCATTTCTGTAATAACTGAAGAGTGATGGTGTTTAAGATCAGATTCTCCTTACACAGACACTGGCATCTTAGAAAAACAAAGCCACGTGGGAGAAGGGACAAGAGGGGGTTCTGTGTGTGTTCTTGGCGTGCATTGACCTTGAGGTGTGGAATCCATGTAGACAGACCAAACAGAGGAATTACCCTAATAGCCATGTGAATGAAGACAGGGCAGGAGCATGCCCCTGAGAAACTTGATTCTTATGGATAGGTTAAAAGGGCATTAACCCATTTATCTGTTCAATTTTAGGGTGAACAAGTATTACTTTATATTGATCTTTTTTTTTTTTAAATGTAATGCCATTGTCAGCCCAGAGTGTCTTAAATTTCTTTCTTTTCTCTTTTCTCCCATTTTATGTGAAGGATTTTTTTTTTCTTATACATCATAGTCAAGAGTGTGTTCTTTAATCATTTTAGCAAAAATGTCAGTGGAATCTTCTGGGTGTAGGGAGATTTGGGAGCCAGCTGTTCCTGATTGGGAAAAGTTGTACTTATGATCTCAGATGCTTGTGCAGAGAGGGTTTGGGTGAGAGTAATGCCTATTGAGCTGTTCATGGCAGAGAGAGTACCATACCAGGGACCAGGATACCAGGGAGTAGGGCCAACAAAGAGTCTTTGCCTTCACAAAGATTGATTTTAAAGCTTTTTATCCCTTTTAGTAAGTTGGGATTCCGTTCATCTCTTTATGAAGGCTGATGGGGATTATCCTTTTTTAAGGGGACTGATGGAGGGTGGTTGTGGGGTTTAACATTAGACATCAGTATCTTGTTTTGCAAATAAAGTAATAGGCACTAGAGTAGCCAGACTCTTTGGGCTTTGATCACTGTGAAAGCACAGCCATGCACACTGTTGCAACGTGGCACCAGATGCTAAAGGGAAGTTTAAATACCCTGCATCTTAAGTATGTAGCAGGATGTTTTCCCCCTCTACTTCTTGAGCCAACAAATCCATTCTGTCCTACTTGACTACCACCAATTAATTCAAATGTGAATTACAGGAAGGTATCTCTTTGCTTTCGATAGACTTTTATGTAGGATTCCTTAACTTTCTCATATTTCAGTTAATATTCAGAATCTCAACAAGTTTGGTTTTCTGTGTTTTTGCAATGAATTTCGTCACATATCCTTATAATATCTGGAGTACATGCTTTAGGAAAATAGGGAGCACTTCCAATTTAATGATGTCTGATGGCAGGAAGAATATTAACCCAAGGTCTTGCTTTAGGTGCATGTTGAGGTAGGTGCTAGGCCTGGTGTCCCTGAAGAAGCACATATATCACCTCAATATATTTGACGAGAAAGGAGTTCTTACACCAAGCATGGTTTGTGACATGCCTGAAAATTTGAGTGTAGTGAGTAGATAAAGACTAAACCATTTAGTCAACCGTGATGCTCCTTGAATTCTTTTCTCTTAAATTTTTTTTTTCCTAAATGGAATTAACACATCTGGTTTTGGTGTTGAAACATCTCCTCATGAAAATTTATGGTCCTGAATTGAGGACCAGGGTGAGAACAAGGAGTCATCTGTTTTTCGCTTACTGGCTAATTTTGCCATGTGGAGGGACGTGTTACCATCTTGTCTAAATCGATACTTTCTTAGTTGCATAGCAATATAAGTTTTTGAACATTTGGCCTCTCCAATAGGAAAAAAAAAAACATTTGGAAGCAAAGGTCGCTCTCTTGGTATTTGCACTAGTTCAGGGTCTTGTTTGTGAGAAGCAGAAACTGACTCTAACATACAAAAGAAAAGGTTGATTGGAAGGATGTTGCACAGGGTTGACAAGTAGCCTAGAGAAACAGGCCTGAAAAATGGGCAGGTGTTCCTAAAATGTGGCTAGACTCTCAGGCTGTGTGCACTTGAAGCTTAGCCACCCTAAGCACTACTTGAGGTTCTGATCATCCTTTTTCTTCTCTCCCAAATGACATGGGCCATAGCTAGCGATCCGCTATGTCATAAAAGTACACTTACGGGTTAAGGACATGAACTAGCCCCCACTTCAGAGTTATAAACACGATTTAATCCAGTTTCCCTTAGGAGCCTTGAGGTCTTCCACCTAGACCTTGCTCTCTTCAACTTTTCCTAGTCTTCCTACTGTTTTTCCATTCTCTTCTTTGGTATATCTGACAAACCACCTTTAAGAAAGTGTCTCCAAGAGTCTGGCAAAAAAATACTCCCATTTGAAATGAGAGGGAAAGATGAGGAGGCCCCATAGACTCTGCAATGGAATTGCCTGCTATGATACTAGTAATAAAACTCTTGGAGGACTTTGAGCTACCAGCTCCCCCAGGCTGCTGGGAGGTGCACCTGGAATTCATCAGGATTCCAGAATGATTATAACTGTGTTCTCATCTGCTTCCAAAATGACAGCATCTGGCTTTAACAAATAAGCCTGAGGCCTGACTTTGGTTATTCAAGGCCCACCTCCTTCCCACTTCTGCCCTTCCAGTGTGGAGAGGTGGGGCCTCATGAAATGAGTCACTCAAGGCCACCAGCGCTCCTGTACGCAGTGCTCTTGGCAGTAGTCATTAGTTTTTTCGCCTTTTTCTAGAAGGCTTCCTCAGAAAGCTGATGTGGTTTAGCTACTGGGCACCCGAAAGCACTCGTGCTACACATTATTAAGTTGATTTAAGAAAGCCTGTCAGGTTTTATTTACAGTGAGCCAAATTGGGCAGGAAGGAGAGCAGACATTTTGATGTGCTTCCAGCGTCCTTCTGAGTTTAATC